GAGCTGCCTGCAGACCCGGCGGGACCAAAGCCCCTTCCCAGGCGCTTGCTTTCCTAGCGCTGCGGGATGCTCCCGGAGCTGGCGAAAAGGCAGGGAAATCCGGTAGCTCGATCGGTACCTAAAGCGATCGCATGGTCCATGGTGTCCTTGCACTGGAGCCGTGAGAGCAGCCTGTCCACATCTAGGGAGCTGCTAATTTGGGGGAAGGAGGGAAGTCTCCTGGTGGGGCAAATTAGCGCTGCTGTGTCCCAGGTAACGCTCTTGGCTCCTGCCCGGGGTCTGCGTACCTGGGTCCACTGGGCAGCTGCCGTGAGCTGAGCTGCAAAGCCCGTTTGCTCTCGGCAGACCTCCTCGGCTGTGAATTTGAGGAAATCACTGTTCCCTCCGTTGCAGGAGCTAACTCTGATCCCTGACCACGTTTCTGGAGGGTGTCTCATGAAAACTGGAGAAGGGGCTTAGCGGAGCACCAGTGTGCTCGCTCACTCTCATCCTTGTCTTCCTTTTTGTCCTCTCTTCCAGGAGAAGGAGAAGAAATACATGTTGCCTTTGGATAATTTGAAAATCAGGGACGTGGAGAAGGGATTTATGTCTAATAAACATGTCTTTGCCATCTTCAACACAGAGCAGAGGTAAGGGCTGTGAGCTCGGAGAAGAGACTGGGTGTCTGATGCGGATATCTCCTGAAATCTTTGGGTAGGGCACCACGCTCAAAACGTTGAATACGTTCTGTGGTTGACCGGCTGATCGTGTTGCCTTGGCCTTGGTCAGCGCTGGTCCGGGCCCAAGCCATGTGTCCAGCTTCCCCTTCCACTTGGTCTTGTGCTGCAAGGCAGAAGCAGCTGTGATCTGATAAAGGAGGATTTCTCTAGAGGAAGCAGCAGCTGCCAATATTTATACACACATTCTGGAGGGATTTCAGGCTTCCTCTGGCTCCCTGGAGGGAGGACTCGTGGTGCTGGAGACCTTGCTTGTGCTCCGTCCCATAGACCCGCTGGGGCGGCCACTGGAGGTTCCTGTCTCCACCACAGCTGACAACCAGGCCTCCTGGTTGCCGTCCCCCCTTGTTCTTTACACCCAGCTCTGCTCCTTCTTGCCTAGGAACGTGTACAAAGATCTCCGTCAGATTGAGCTGGCCTGCGACTCCCAAGAAGACGTGGACAGCTGGAAAGCCTCTTTCCTCCGAGCGGGAGTTTACCCAGAGAAAGACCAAGTAAACATTCCCCCTGACTTGTCAGACCCCTCCACGAGCAGGCTGGCTAATGAGTGCAGTCCAAGACCAGCCTGGGGAGAGGCTGCCAGAGAAGCCTCCAGACTTAAAAGTAGCAAGCTCTTGGCTTCAGTTCTCAATTTTTCAGTCCTTGTGTGTTACAGTAGGTTCTCGGTCGCCTGTATCCGTGTGGATGCTGCGGTGGCTTCTCCATATCATGGTGTCCACAGACCTAGATTGGGTGCCCTGGAAAATGCTTTGGTATCACAGAACGTGATGAACTTTAGCATGGCACTAGTTTGTGCTGTCCTGCTGATGGATCTAGTAGTTCTTCTCAGCTATGAAATAAACTCAGTTTCAAAAAGCACCTATAGAAATACGTGGAAAGGATGGGGAATAAGTGTGGAGCAGAGGGGTTTCAGGCCACTCTTGCAGAACCAGCCCTAGATGCGAAGCCCCTTGGCCACATCTCCCCTCACCCACCGTCACTAGGAGCAATATGGCTCCAAATGGGTCTGTGAGATCCTGACAGTATCTTGTGCCCTGCTTTCCGTGCGCAGACTGAGAACGAAGATGGCGTCCAAGAGAACACCTTCTCCATGGACCCTCAGCTGGAGCGCCAGGTGGAAACCATCCGCAACCTTGTCGACTCCTACGTCGGCATCATCAACAAGTCCATCCGGGACCTCATGCCAAAGACGATAATGCACCTCATGATAAACAATGTGAGTGGCTGTGCTCGGGGGAGCCTTGGCGTGGCCGCAGCCCATCCAGAGAGACGGGGACTCCTGGGCCCAGGGCATTCAAGGAGCCATTCTCTGGGCAGCGCAGGCTGGGGTGGAGTCCTGAGCCCCCTGAGTTCAGGGTCGGATCAGCTGCGCCATGTTTGTTGCTGGGCCAGAATGGAGCAATGGGATTTGATGCTCTTTCGATTATTAATTTTCATGTCTTTGCGCTGTAGCTGCTTGGCTGCAGCTTTGCTGAGAAGGCAGTTTGATTCTTGGCCTTTGCTCCAGCCTGGTTCTAGCAATCCAGGGACGCTAAACCATCCCGCAGCTCCTGAGCGGCTGGGGCTTCGCTTGCCTTCCCGAGCTGGGATAAGCGTGTCCTGGCTTCCGCTGCCTCTGCTGCTGTAGGTCCTTTAGCTCCTACTCCCCCAGTTCCCAATCTCGCGGGTTTAGTATCTCGGGGCTGACCTTTACTTGCTGTCGCTTCTCTGCAGACCAAGGATTTCATCCACTCGGAGCTGTTGGCCTACCTATACTCGTCCGCTGACCAGAACAGCCTGATGGAGGAGTCGGCTGACCAGGCGCAGAGGAGGGATGACATGCTGCGAATGTACCATGCCCTGAAAGAGGCCTTGAACATCATCGGAGACATCAGCACCAGCACGGTATCCACGCCGGTCCCCCCGCCCGTGGACGACACGTGGCTGCAGACGAGCAGCGGGTGCGAATGTACCATGCCCTGAAAGAGGCCTTGAACATCATCGGAGACATCAGCACCAGCACGGTATCCACGCCGGTCCCCCCGCCCGTGGACGACACGTGGCTGCAGACGAGCAGCGGGCACAGGTACGCCGGGCTGGGACGGGCGCTTGCTGAAGGAATTAGTGGGGCGGGCAGCTCGGATTTGGGCCGATAGGCCTGCCCCGCTCTCGGTGCGGAGAGGGCCTTTTCCTTGGGGCGCTCGGGCCTCTGCGCAGAGGCTGCAAGCCGAGCGCTCCTTGCCCTGACGCGCTTCCTCTCCCCTGCCGCCCCCCCCCTCA